CACTTGACTTTTGCCCATCTAAAATAATAAGTGACAGGCAGCACTTTTAAGAAGGCAGGAATGGTAGGAATGGTCATAATCCTGAAAATGGTCTAGTCTTTCATGTTCCTGCTTCAACCACCATTAATTTCTGGGGTACACAACAGTAGCTACGGGGGCTGTTCAGCATTTGGTATGCTGGCGCAAATGATAAAGAGTGTTGATCTTTAGATTAGGAACACCGGGGTACATCACAGGCAAGTCATTTGAACGTTTCAGTTTCCTCATCTGTAAAATGGAGATGACAATACCCACCTTATGGAGTTGAAGATTTCCAATAAGGTAACATACGCAAGTGTTTGGCAAACCTTAAAGAGCTCAGTTATTATTATCCATAACAATAATAATCTTAGGTGCAAGTATTTACTTTTCATTTATTTTTTCACATAACATTAGAAGGCAGTATTTGCACGCCAGTGACTTATATGAATGCTATTTACTCCTATTAACCTTTTGAGGAAGGAAACAGTCCTAAAGGATAACCTATAACACAAAATTTGTAGCCAACCGCAGAAAATTCTCCTAGCTCTAAAACAACAGCATTCTGATGAAAAAATACTAGCACTGGGGCAGCTAGGTGGCACAGTGGATAGAGCACCAGTCCTGGACTCAGGAGGACCTGACTTCAAATAGTCTTATCTGATAATAGCTGTGTGACCCTAGGCAAGTCACTTAACCCTGATTGCCTCAGCAAAAAAAAACAAAAAAACTCAAAAACTAGCTTCATACTATTTTGACTAGATGACCAGGGATGCTGAGGAGGGCATTTCTGTTCAGGAAAGACGTATTTTTTTTTACTATTTAATTCTTAGTTTACAACTTTTATTTTTCCATACATAAATCCCTTTTCCTAAAAATTTGTATCAGTTACTAGTTAATAATAGCTTCTGGATGGCTACAGGGGAATAAGTTTCTTCACATCGTTCTACACATGATTAGGCCCTCAAAAAATTCTTCCTACTCCACCTACTGACTGCACACCCACATCCTCTCCAAGCCCTCCTCCCTATCCCCAGAGCTGCTCCCTAATGGTCAGGAAAATGTTGCTTCTGAGAGCTTGCTTTCATTTCAGTTAGCAAAAAGTGAAATTTCCTGGCTCTGTACATGGTGTGATTTTAAAGTGGTAACATGTTTTTCTTTTTTTTTAAGCCACACAAAAAAAGTCAATTTTCTTCTATTTTATAAGCTGCCATCTATAGTCACCAAATAATGTGTAGAATTTTAGAAAGCTTTCCTTCATTCTTAAGGCCCGAGCAAAAGGTCAAACTGTTTAAAAACTGCTGTTGTGACTCCTGTTGGCACATACATAGGTCCTCATCATTTTTGTTCTGAAGATTTGTGGGAAGAAAACATGTTTTCCTCAGAAAAATACACCTTGGGGCAGTTAGATGGCACAATAGATAGAGCACTGGCCCTGAAGTCAGGAGAACCTGAGTTCAAATCCAGCCTCAGACACATGACATTTACTAGCTGTGTGACCCTGGGCAAGTCACTTAACCCCAACTGCCTCAGCAAAAAGAAAAAGAAAAATATACCTCCACCACTGCAGGGCAAAAATGACAAATGACAAAAAATTTTATATCAAATCAGAATAATGGCAACTTATATTTTAAACCACAAGAATAAGAAGCAGACACCTAACATAACAAGTGCTTTCCTATCTCTGAATTCCTTTCATTCCTATACTCATAAATCATTAATAAAGGTGCAGCTTTTTAAAGAATATAATAGTATTTAATTCAATGAATTTATTTTGTTTATTTTATTTTAGAAAAGAAGCTGGCTCAGTTCTGTTCCATTTTCCATTAATTAATATTCTATTATTTACTGGACAGGATGTTACAGTGTTCAGTGTTGCTGGTGGAGACATAATTGAATTTCCTGGCTTTGGGGTAATTTAATTAGAAACTTAATGTTGCATTAAATGTAGCTATTCATCATTGTTTTCACTCTCTTCTTTTTTGGTAACGGGAAAATTATTGTCACAAATATCACATTAAAACAATTAACCTGTGTTCTTTTAAAGACTAATCTTTGAAAAACAGATGATTATTAAAGTAGTAGTATACATATCAAAGAAAATTTTTATGGAGTGAGAATGAAAGAAGAAAAAAATTAGTTCCAAGAACAACTTTTTGAATAGTCCCCAAGAAAAAGGTACTTCACTAATTTCACTAACTTTTTAGCACATTCTGGGATGAACCAAAGGTTAAAATAGCTCTTGTCTGTTATGGGACATTTTTAAAATAATGTCTACATTGTTTAGTAAATTTAAAATTACAAAAATGCCTCTGAAAATACTCCCTTTGGGGTGATTTTTTCAATCATTGTGGGGGACACTGCCATGCTTCCTGTCTCATGGAGGAGGAATCAGTCATCTTTGGCCCCTCAATGTTCTCCATTTCTCAAAAACAAGACTGTTGCCGAATACAGGGAATTAAGAGTGTGGTATATTGGATACAGGCGTTGGCTTAGAGTTAGGATTCAACTCTTTTTGTCTTCCATGACATTCATCAATTTAGCTCTCTTTCTAACTCTCTGAATTCTCCTTTATATCCATTACTGACTGCCACTTTCTCCTTTTTTTAAAAATTTAATTAAATTTAATTTTCAGGTCCACATTTTTTTCCTCTCAACCTCTGAATCCTCCTCCCCAGTACCCCAAAACCCATTACAAACATACATAATAAACAAAATCCCTACATTGGCCATGTCTAAATATGTACTTTGGGTCCATAACCTCTATGTGGAAGTGGATACCATGTTTCGTTATAAGCCCTCTGGAGCTGTGGTTGGTCATTGATTAACTGTGGGTATTTCCCAAGGTTTTCTCCTTAGCCTTCACTTCTGTCTCAACATTCTCATTCAAGGGGATTCCATCCATTCACAAGACTTTTAGACTATTAATGTTATACAGATGACTCTCAAATCTCTAAGTCCGACCTCTCCTAGGCTCCCGTACTACAGTATTTTTAACTACCTTTTGGGATCTCCACTGGAACGTCCCAATGTCACCTCAAATTCAACATGTCAGCAGGATGGTAAAGTAGAAGAAACTGACTTGAAGTCAAGACACTTGGGTTTAAGTATGAGCTGTACCAGTTTCTAGTTGTATAATCTTAGACAAGTCACTTAACAGCTTTAAGTTTTAATTTCCTTTGCTATAAAAAATGCGGACAATAATTACCTCACAAGCCAAACTGAATGATTTCTCTCAATCTTCAATCTCCTTGGCGTCTCTACAGCCTTTTACACTGTGGAGCATCCTCTCTGCCTTGATATTCTCTATTCTCTAGGTTTTTGGGATACCACTCTCCTGGTTCTCTTGTCTGACCACTCTGTGTCAGTCACCTTTGCTGGATCTTCACATGTATCGTCAACTCAACATGGGTTCTGTCCTGGGCCCTCTTCTCTTCTCCCTCTATATTATTTCACTTGTTAATTTCATCAGCTCAATTGGATTCAATGATTATCTCTATTCTGATGATTTTCAAATCTACTTCACCCACCCTAACCTCTCTGCTGATCTCCCATCTCCAGCTGCCTTTTAGATATCTCAACTTGGATGTCCTACAGATATCCTAACATTTCCAAAACCGAACTCATTATCTTTTTCCCCAAAGCTGCCCCCTTCCCAAACTTCCCTAAGTAATAGGAAAATAGGAAAAAAAGTAACAGGGAAAGTGGAGGACACCACCACCTCCCAAAGCCCCAGGCTCACAACCTAGGTGTCATTCCCAACTCCTCACTCTCTCTCACACCCGATATTAAAATCTGTTGATTTTGTCTTATCTCTTACATTTGTCCACTTTTCTCTTCTGATACTGCCACCAACCCAGAACAGGCCCTAATCACCTCATGCACGGACTGCAGTAATAGATTGCTGGTTGATGAGCCTGCCACATATCTCTCCCCACTCCAGGCTATCTTCCACTCAACCATCAAAGTGATTTTCCTCCAACTCTGGTCTGATCATGTTACTCCTCACCCTGTTTCTCCTCTATTCAAACTCCAGTGGCTGCCTATTACTTCCAGGATCAAATATAAAATTCTTCGTTTTGTGTTTTAACTCCCCTTAGAACCTGGTCCCTCCTACCTTTTCAGTCTTCTTAGAGTTTACCTCTCCTCCCCCCTCTTAATGTTCCCCAGGCCTTGTTCTTCAGTCAAGGAATACTGGTTCCCTCAAATAAGACGTTCCTCAAATAAGATGAACTATTTTCTGACTCCTGGAATTTCACTGGCTGTCCCCCATGCATGGAAAGCTCTCCTTCTCATTCCTGGCTCTTGGCCTCCCTCACTTCATCCCAGCTAAAATCTTCAGCTCTTCCACAGATAATCTTTCCTCGGTTGATCATTTTCTAATTATCCTATATTACAGCTTGTTGTCTTCTCCATAAGATTGTGAATTCTTTGAGGGTAGGGGCTGTCTTCTGCCTTTCTTTGTATCTCTAGGGCTTAGTATAGTGCCTGAAATACAGCAGGTGCTTAATAAACGTTTGCTGGCTGACTTCATTGACTGATTACAGCTTGCTAAACTAATCTTTCTACCTTCTGTTTTGGGACCTTTGTTTGAAATATTCTCTACTTGGAATTCCTTCCTTGAAGCTCTGTACATAAATTCTACCTCTACTTGAAGGTCTAATTCAAATGCCACCTTTTCATAAAACTTTTCCTTATCACCCCAGAAAGAAATTATTTCTCTTTCCTTGGTACATACCTTTATTACAACACTAGGCACACATAAACTGCCATTTTCTGCAATTAAGCTATGGCGTACATGTCTTATCTCCTTGAAGGAAAGGACCATGTCTTTCTGTTTTTATCTTTGGAAATTCCATAGGGCTGAACCTCATTCACAAGCCCAGCTTTACTCAGTATTTCCTTTTGACTTTTATTTACTTAAAATAATGTTGCAATCCATGTGGTCAGTAGAAGGTATGAACAAAAACTACAACAAATACCTGTTTCATGGAGCTCTTCTTCTCCAGTATATGAAGAAAACACCAGCCTAGAGAACTTGTACTGCTGTTCCCGGAAATTATTTTGCAGGTAGTCCATCAGCATGACATACCCAGACTGCTGCATTGTAAGAACTTCACAAAAGACAGCCAACTGGGAAAAAGGACCAAGGAACTCAAGATAGCTATTAGAAAACCCCAAAGGAAAGAAACATCCACCAAAATGCTACCCTCTTCAAACCAAAATGACATATAAAACTGCCTATGTAAAACTCGACATTTGAAATGAATTTAGAAAAAGAATTCTTGAATTTTATTTTAACTTGTTTTAACCTATAATCCTTAAAGCTCTCACCTTATCAACATACAAGTTTTCTTTTCTTATAAAAAATCGATAACATTTTGTTTTGAAACAACAGATATTTCCCACTAAATTCCTTATAAAATATAGGCCCTGGAAAAAAAGTTTGTTGATCCTCAACTGGAATGAGAGGGTGTTTCAGCCCTAACAATATTAACTAGTATTGACTGTGGTTGTTCTATGGTGATTTCATCTACATTATTACAGTCATTGTGACACACAAATTTTCCGGAAAAAGAGTAATTTGGATTCCTGTGCTCCCATTTTTTTAATGGTTCCCTGAGGTTACCACTGGTCACTGGAAAAAGGACTAGAACACTGCCATCTACTCCTCTTTCTCATAACTGTGTGGACTATGGAACTTGAAATTATATAGCATAGAGAAACAGGACAGCTTTGGGGAAATCACATGTTGAATTTATCATCTATTTGAAATGAAACGCAAACTGTATGTAGTAGTGATTCACAGCTTGATGTACAGAATTTTTCCTCTTCTACTTTGTATATGGAAATGTCCATTTTATTTTGCTGTTTGTTGATTTCTGAATTAAAAAAATAATTTAAAAAAGAAATTATGTGGTGTGCTTCCAACACATTAGTTACAGAAATATTTACCTTTGAGCAATTCTGAGAAATCACTTCATATCTATTAGATTTGCAAAATTACCTGGCTTTCAGAAATGCTAATGGGATCTTTAAAGACAATCCAGTTAACTGATTCTGTGCAGGGAGGAGTGGTCAAGGATCCATTGTAAGTATAATACTTGTCTGTGGAGTTTGGCAGAAGATTCAGCAAAACAAATGGATTTAATGGAGCTTGCTTTCCTGCAAAGCAATATTACAAATTTTCGTTTTGAGTTCCAACACTGTTTATTACTAAAATAATCATAGGGGCTAGCAAAACAAAAATCCACAATTTAATACTCATTTGATTGAAATTATAATTACATAATATATTAAATTATAATTAAAACTATAGAATTAAAATATATAAAAATATATATTCAATCATTGGGATACACATGGAGATAAAACATCTCCATGAGTAAATTCTATGTTTCCTTTGGACTCTCAAGCCTTACATTCTTTGGTGGGAGCTAAGTTATAAATACAAAATCATCAACAATATTCTGATAAGAGTAAGTCAGCAATCCAATCAGTTACTTCCTACAAAGGTATTAGCTTTTTCCTAATTCACATGTCTTATTCTGTTAATTATTAATATAAACCGTAACATATTTAAATAAGCAAGAAATACACTATTTTAAGATAAATATAAAAATGTGGCTGAATTTTTGAAATAATTGTGTTCATTTCTAGGTATTATAGTTTAAGGAGAATAATGATGTGAGGATATAAGGAGGAAAATGATAAATATGCTTCCAGGTAGGGTGAGTAGGCTATGAAGAATAAGACATTTCTTTTATAAGCGTAACAACATTTTTAGGTTTCAGCGTTCTAACAAGCAGATTTTCCCCACTCAGGCTAGATAAAATCTGTTACTGACTAAATAGATGCACGTGCTGTTTGTTACATTCATGGCTGAATTGGGCAGCAGGATCTTCAAATAAAGCAAGCAGTTATGGGAAGATCCTGTTTGATGCCTGTTTCATTCTCCCTTTCACAAAGTAAAAGCAGCACCCCAGTAGGTCACACTTCCCTGACTACAGAGATCTTTGGTCAATTTAAGACCTCACACGAAATTGACAAAGATCAATCAATCCTATGCTAGGCTTCAATTTTGAGGATAAAGTCCTAGATATTGAGTTTTATTCTTGATTTGAAAGTTGAGAGCTTCCAAATTACTAATATTCTTTATTAAATGTCAGGCCTAATATGCTGTGCTAGAGTTCCATGAAAATGAACAACAAAATAATAATGATGTCTGCTTTGTAGTCTCAGACCCTGGGAAGTACCGGCTATTCGATTTGATTCAACAGACAATTGAGTATGGTGCTAGGCACTGACTCTGCATCCTTTCTCTAGCATCCTATGGCTGATCCGTTAATAATGGTCAATACTTTCACTTTTGCTTTTTATTATGGACTCAAAGTTTCTGTACCAGTCAGTCTGATAGTCAGTTAATAAAGTATTCATTAAGTGCTTAAGCTTAAATGATATCAAAGCATATTCTATTTCAATTTCTATGATAATTCTCCTTCCTAAAGTATTCTCTTTTTTTTTTTATGGTTTAGGAAAAGTGTTTTTCCAGGGTTACATTTGAGAACTTAATTTTTATTTGGAGAAGTTCTGTTATTTAATTTTTTATTCCAATGTAGTATTTAATTTTATAATTAATTTTTATTTAAAATTTGTATTTTCACAGTCTGCCTTCAATTTAGAAGCTAAACTCTCTTAATTATACATAAAACTGATATGAAACATAGAAGTAATAATTCAGAATAGAAAAGCATCATGAGACTGATTTGATTGAAGAATGAAATCAATAAAATAACAATTTCTTCCCTCCATTAGGATTTTATGACTCACATTTGACAGATCTTTTTTCACAAATTGTTCTTGGAAGTTGGAAATTCATGTTATCAATATGAGAAAGAAAGCAGAGATTTCTCTATTTAAAAATGTATAAAATCGTGCGTTTGGAAAAAAATAAGGATTTCTAAGTATCATCATGCTCTCTGTGTATGCACATGTATCTTCTCTTTGTGTATATACTCCAGTCTTTGAGACTATATGATTTTCATTAAAGCTTTATACACATCAAAGGTATAATCTGGAAGATATATACTCCTCTAAACAGAATAGCAACTTACCAAAACGGCTGACACTGTCTACTCCTTCAATAATTGCTTTATAATCCATATTGTCTTCTATTCCAACCTGTTAAAGAAAAGTGGTTATAATATTTTACTCAGTGTTAGTCAATAAGCATTTATTAACAACCTACTTTGTGCCAAGCACATAGTTCTATAAAAGCATTTAAAAGTTAATGAATTCCATCTTAAAAATTATGCTATGAAGTACAATATATTCAAATAAAACTTAAGAAAATCTTCTGATTCTTCACAATAACTACTATACCCAAAGGATCTATGTTTTGGTCAAACTGAGTAAGTTGGGTATATGGCAACTCCTTCTACCAAGACAGACTATATACTTATGATTTAGTAGGAGATTCCTACAGAGTTGCTTGAGGTATTTAGATATGAAATGACTTGCCCAGTATCACTGAGCTTATCAGTGTAATGGGCAAGATTTGGATCAATCCCTTTGTGACTCCAAGTCCAATACTCTTATGTACTGTACCACTCTGCCTCTATGGTAACTGCTATACACTTATCCCTTTCACATCACGATTTTCCCCATCACAGTTCTGATATATCAGGGATCAGCATAAGAAATCAAATTGGGGGGGGGGGTGCAGAGCCAAGATGGCTTGATCATGAGCAAGCAGCACGAAAAGAGTCAGACTATATTATCTTACTTTGGTGACAAAGAAGATCAAAACATACAACCAGAAGAAGACAACAGAGTCAAAGGTCCTACATCCAAAGCCTCCAATAAAAATACGAATTGGTCCCAGGCCATGGAAGAGCTCAAAAAGAATTTTGAGAAGCAAGTAAGAGAAGTGGAGGAAAAACTGAGAGTGATGCTAAAGGAGACCCAAAAAAATATGGAAGAAAATAACATCTTAAAAAATAGCCTAACCCAAATGGCAAAAAAGGGCCAAAAAGCCAATGAGGAGAAGAATGCCCTAAAAAGCAAAATTGGACAAATGGAAAAGGAAGTCCAAAAGATTACTGAAGAAAATACTTCCTTAAAAATTAGAATCGAGCAATTGGAAGCCAGTGACGTTATGAGAAATCAAGACACTGTAAAACAAATCCAAAAGAATGAGAAATTAGAAAACAATGTGAAATATCTCACTGGAAAAACAACTGACCTGGAAAATAAGTCCAGGAGAAATAATTTTAAAAGTACTGGACTATCTGAAAGCCATGATCAAAAAAAGGGCCTAGACATCATCTTTTAAGAAATTATCGAGGAAAACTGCACTGATATTTTAGAACCAGAGGGCAAAATAGAAACTGAAAGAATCCACCAATCTCCTCCTGAAAGAAAGCCCCAAAGGAAAACTCCTAGGAATATTGTAGCCAAATTCCAGAGTTCCCAGGTCAAGGAGAAAATATTGCAAGCAGCCAGAAAGAAAAAATTCAAGTATTGTGGAAGCACAATCAGGGTAACACAAGATTTAGCAGCTTCTACGTTAAGGGACCGCAGGGCATGGGATATAATATTCCAGAGGGCAAAAGAGACAGGATCACAACCAAAAAATCATCTACCTAGCAAAACTGAGTATAATCCTTCAAGGGAAAAAATGGCCATTCAGTGAAATAGAGGACTTCAAGTATTCTTGATGAAAAGACTAGAGCTGAATAGAAAATTCAACTTTCAAATACAAGACTCAAGAGAAGCATGAAGAGGTAAACAGGAAAGAGAACTCATAAGGGACTTAAGGATGAACTGTTTACATTCCTGCATGGAAAGATGATATTTGTAACTCATGAGACCTTTGTCAGTATTAGGGTAGTTAGAGGGAAAAAATTATATGGATAGACAGACAGATAGCTAGCTAGATAGATAGATAGATAGAGGGCACAGGGTGAGTTGAAGATGAAGGGGTGATATCTGGAGAATAAAATTAAGTAGTGAGAAAGGATTATACTGGGAAAAGGAGAAAGAGAGAGGTAGAGTGGGGTAAATTATCTCATAAAACAGACAAGAAAAGGCTTTTATAGTGGAGGGGGAGTGGGGGAAGGTGAGAGGGAATGAGTAAATCTTATTCTTATTGAATTTGGCTTAAGGAGGGAATACTATACACACTCAATTGGGTATAGAACTCTATCTTACTCTAAAGGAAAACAGGGGGGAAGGGGATAAGAGAGGAGGGAGAATGATAGAGGGAAGGGCAGATTGGGGGAAGGGGTAATCAGAAGCAAACACTGCTGAGAAGAGACAGTGTCAAAAGAGAATAAAATAAACAGGGGATGGGATAGATGAAGGGAAATATAGTCAGTTTTTCACAACATGACTACTATGGAAGTGTTTTGCATGACTATGCACATATAACCTGTATTGAGTTGCCTGCCATCTCAATGAGAATAGGGAGGGAGGGAGGAAGGGAGAAAATCTGGAACCTAAAGTTTTAATAACAAATGTTAAAAATTGTTAAAAAAAAATAAATAAAATTGCTTATTTTCCTCTGTGAGGAAAAAAAAGAAATTAAATGGGAATTTGGGGGGAGTTTTGCGGAAGCTGCAGACAACATGCGAAGGTCAGTAAACAACATAGAAAAAGTTTAGAAACTCAGAAATACATAAATATATGTATTGTGTCATATCATATCAGCATACTTTATCTTTTAATACCATAATATTTCAGACTTCTCTGGTATGAATGGAGGGCCAAAAATTTTTGCTCAGATTTTCCATATTTGGGGGGAGAGGGCATTGTGCCCCTAAGCCTCGTGATGTGGAAGGGATAACTGAAATTGTTAATAAAATCTTACATTTGGGAGCAGCTAGGTGGCACAGTGGATAGAGCTCTGGCCTTGGAGTCCGGAGAACCTGAATTCAAATCCGGTCTCAGAAACTTGACATTCACTAGCTGTGTGACCCTGGGCAAGCCACTTAACCCCAACAGCCTCACCAAAAAGCAAAAAAAATAAAATAAAATAAAATAAAAATAAATCTTACCTTTGTATAGGCACAATATCACATTTAGGATATCATATAATACTCACAATAACTCAGAGGAGATAATGTAGGTCTTTAACCAAAGTTATCATTACCTCAAATAAAATGGATAAAGCTCTTAATTTTCCTTTCCCTTTAACTGCGTCCTCAAAACTTGCAAACTGGTCCGGGTCAAAGCAGTAGATCTGCATCTACAAACAAAGCAATGAGCTCTTTAGCACTTAGAAATAAGTTACCCAAGTTGATCAACAGACTCAAGAGAATCGATCTCTTCACTGAAGTATCTACTTGCAAAAGGCAAATCTTAAGGAAGACCATGAGAGGAGCACAGGAGCCCCTGGTTTCATACAAGTGCATGTGACCACAGTTGTCAGCTTCTATTAAAAAAACCACAAAAGGCTTGCTCTTCTACATAAAAGTCAATGTAAATTCTGTGACCTGAACAGAATAAATATTTTATGCACTGAATGAAAGGCTGCAGATCGTAAACCGCTCCCTAGAGATAAGTGAGACTCATTTGGAATCTGATGAACATGTTTAGGCCACAGAGTACATTAAGGAAGTGACTTACTAGAGTAAAAAATCAATTTATCTAGAAAGCCTGGAGAGGAATCGGCCATTTGGAATAGTCCACGTTTTTGCATAGCAAAGGGTTTACCCCTTTAAAATCACCAAAAAATTTATTTTCAAATTTGTACAGAAATCTTGATAAAACATATTCACCTTTTCCTAGACTTAAAAATGGGTATAGTATTAATTTCATAGCATTATAGTAACGTAGATTTAGAGCAGGAAGGATCTTCAGAAGCTTTAGTCCAATATCATTTTACAGATGAGAAAACTGAGGGACAGAGCAGTAAGGGACTTTTCCAAGGTCACATAGGTAAGTATGTGAGGCAGGATTTGAACCCAAAGCTTCCTGACTCCAAACACCAGTCTTCTATCCACTACCTAATCCTGCCTTTCACTTAGTCATCAATATTGAATATGCTGATGTCCTGCTGGTCTACTCTAAACATTTAGGGTTACTGCACTTACTTACTCTAATCTGTTTAAAGTGTATATAAATTAAGAACACACAGGCTCTGAGTGAGCACAAGGTGGGACCAAGGAATTGATTGCCTTTTAGGAAATATTTTGGTCGCTCAGAGTCTTTTTATGTTTACTTTCAGAGTTTTGACAGTATTCTAAATAGGTAATGTTGCAGGATGGCCGAGTTCCATATAGATGACAAGGCATATATAGTTGTAACTTTAAAAAATGAATGTATTGCCCCTTTTTCCAAACAGGTATTTGTGGGGGGGGCAGAGGGAGAAGGTAGATAAATTAAGAGCTCCAGGAATATCTTACTCTAAGGAAATATAATACATGAAAAAACAAAATTATTAGCTTAAAATTAAGAAATTATAATTTCCATAACAAAAAAAAACATGTCACTTACTATAAAAAAAAAAAGATTCACTTCAGCAACCCTTTAAGTATTGAGTTCCCCAGTGCATTTAAGTGTTTACATATCATTAATTATTTGGCAGAAAGGCTAACCGGTCACTGTGCTCTGTTGTCATTTGAGAAGCCATCAGATGTGAAAATAAATACCTCTGAAATTAAAATGGTAAGTCAATGAGTGCATCTGATCCCAGTTACAAAAACTAAATTTACAAGAAGTATTTCAGGAACACATCTACTGTGTAAAGCAATGGATTTCTAGATAGCAAAAGGTCTGCCACCATCATGGGAAACTGACTAAAGACTTTATAGAGTAAGATTCTTCTAATAGAAAAAAAGCCCCTTGATTAAAAGTTGGAAGCTGCATTCATTCTTTAAAACTACTAGTGTTCTATTTTCAGGTTGCTTTTTCTTGCACACAGTAGGTCCTTGATAAATGATTTCTTAAAGGGAGGTATGATGGGAAATAGCACTGGATTTGGAGTGTTAATACTGACCGCCATTTACTACTTATGTGACCTTGAGCAAATAACTTTACCTCCCAGTCCTTAGTGTCCATATCTGTTTAGAAAGGAGTGATGATAGTTGTTGTAGTTTAGTCATTTTCAGTTGTTTCTGACTTTTCGTGACCCTGTTTAGAGTGTCATTGGCAAAGATTCTAGAGTGGTTTGCCATTTCCTTCTCCACCTCATTTTATAGATAAGGAAACCGAAGCAAACAGGGTTAAGTGACTGGTCCATGGTCATACAACTAGTTAGTGTCTGAGACGGGTTTTGAACTCAGCTGCACCACCCAGCTGTCCATGTTGTAGCAGATAGGCTTTAACATTCCTTCCAGCTCTAAATCTACGACTTTATAAATTAAAGTATTTAGGAAGACCTCTCCCTAGTCTCAGCAGTTTTTATTTCAAGAAGTATATAATTCAAGATCACCTCTTCTCCATATGTTTGGCTCAAATGGACTAAGAAAATCTCATGAGATCTTTTCTTTAGAATTACTGGAATAGATTTATTTGGGGGAGGGAGGGTGAATGAAAGAAACACCTGTTTTCTATATAAAATATATTTTATCTTTATGTTCATCCAATATAAAATAGTGTTTTACACAGAAATTATTAGACATACAGATTTCAGAAATAAAGCACAAAACATGTTGGATAGCCTAATAACTCAAATATTTACAAAAAAGCACAGTATTTAGCGTAACTATGATAGTTGTTACCTCGAGTGGAAATTTTTGTCCTTCTAAACTATGTTCTGAACCATCAGATGACATATTGCATTTTCCCCAGTGAAAAGTTATCTTGCTTGCTTTGAATGTAGTTTCCATACCACCTCCACTGAGATGGTAGTCATTTGTCAAATTTATTTCCACTAAGGAAAAAAAAAAAAACAATAACAAAGTTACATCCAGACTTCTGACGATCAAAGACCATGTTTAGAACAAAACCTTCTCATTAAATCACATCATGTTACTTGTTCACAAATTTAAAAAGAAATTACTTATTGGAGAGATTTAAAACAATTCTATCAAGTGACAATTTTGGAAGCTGAAGTACTAATTAGTTAATTAATGAAGACTTCAGTTACATTTACTTCATTACAAGCCATGCATGGTAATCCCAGCTCTGATTACTTTTCTATTACTCTTCTTTTTTGAAGGTATGAATCATCCATCCCATGACTGCCCAAAGCTTCCACAGCCTCCTTTCTCATATCCCTTTTCGCCCCATCTCCTAAGGAGAACAAGCTGATAAATGAATATTTGTGTGGTCTTGGAAAAGTCACAGCTTCTCTGGGCCTCAGCTTTCTTATCAATGACATGTAGGGGTGAGACTAGATGATAGTTAAGATCGATTAGAGCTCTAAATATTATTTAGTAATCTTATAAAATCTTTGCTTGACTCCCCTTCCCAATGAACTGGCTGACAAGAAGGAAAGCTAGTGAGGGAAAGCTGGCCTGCAGCTACTCTTCCTATTATTACCACCACCCCAACCATGATGTTCCTCCATCTTTCTATCACTCTACTCACAATGAGGAAAGTCAGGAGGAGGGATGGAATTAAATCAAAGAAAGAAGGAAAGGTAAGACAGGTATCACTGCTCTTAGCCACCCATCAGTCTCAATCTCCTTCTTCAAATCCCCAGCTTTTACCTCTCTCTTCATACTCCAAGTCTTGACCCTCTCCACTCATTGTACCTCCCAATCCCGGTCCTGAGGAAGCTGTCCCAGTTCACAGATGCCAACATTGTTAGAGTGGAACCAGGGAAGCCTATGCACCCACTATCTGGCAAGTACAGGGCAAAAGAGAAAAATCCTAGATTCTCTTGCAAAATGTAATCATAGCATTCCATGTTGGAAATCTATGTATGTATATACAGAAATACAGTGAAACAGTGGTAGTGTCATACAGTACTATTAGTACTACATTTTAATCACACTATAGATTAAGCTGAATAGAACTATAATTTATGATACAGTTTTTAATGTGTCATTCTTAGCGCTAAATAACCAAACTTTTGTAATACAACTGTATTGAAAGTTGGGAATTACCTATATAAATATAATCCAACTCTGAAATCCTAGAATTCATAAGGGGAGGAAACATTTAGAGATCACTCCCAATGTATGAAGTTCTTTACAGTTCAAAGTAAGAAGGACGCTGGGATACACAAATTACCACCACCAGCCCCATATTCACCAGTAGTAAGACTCTTCCCAGACTTCATATTTAAACTCTGAAGTGGAGAATTTAAAAATCCTTCAGAGGAGAGTAAAAAAACAAAAGAAAAAGAAAAAGAAAACAACCCAACAATGATTAATTGATTGTAAAACAGAATCTATGTGGACAGAAAACAAGACAAACAAACAAAAAAAACAAAAAAACCCGAGGTAATTTAGGTGGTAGAAGGCCGGGTTATAGCACAATAAAGAAGGTGATGGAGAAATGCTACAGAGAATACTAACTGACCCACAGTGAACTAGATGACATAGGGAATAACTAATTGACAATACAGACTGTGTAATTTGGCAGCAGATTCTGCAGGTCCCTAAAAAAGTGAGGGGATGTCTACTTGTCCAGCAGGGATTAGGTATGGATAAAATCTCTATGTTTTATTTAGTTCCATGATTTTGTAGTTCCTTTCAGTTTCTTTAAGGAGTGCTCAGGTGAGGGGAGGCAGATAATCTGAAACTGAAAATAGAATAAAACTGAATTTTAAAGTATTTTAAAGAATAAGTGCTCATGCATGCTAAAAAGAATCTTGCCCTAGAATGAGATTTCATGTAATATTGAGAAATTTCCTTTGATTCTTTGGATGATATGTGCATATTACAGCATCTATGACAAGGCAGACTGTCTTCAATTCATCATAGGCAGTGGGATTCAGTAAAATACAAAAAAATGATAAGACTAAGGTCAGCTCACATTTTGGGTAGAGTGGACAAAAAAAAGTGATGGTTAGGATTGCTAATGAGATGCGTGGAGCTGAAAGGGTAGGAGACACCACACAGAATATATTTACTTGCCCTACATGATACACTAGAGACTACCAGATCATCAGAATAGGGACAGATTACAAAAAAAGCATTTTTTAATTTGCAAAGGTAAATATGACTATGCTTTCAGGAGATTCCAAAGCCTCTTAGTATAACTGCTCTTCAGTGGCAATGAAATTGTAATAATTCACATTTGTATAGTGCTTTAAGATCACTAAAAGCTTTCCTCACAACAAGCTCATGAGACAGGCAAGTATTATTATCAGGGAGAGAGGAGCTATCATTTATAATTTCAACTTGAAGATGGGAGAAAAGGTTAAAAAATGGAATAGTTGACATGGATCCACTTCTACCACCTTGAATCTCTATGTTCTATTTGTGCAGCTACAGATGTAAAAGTGATATGGAAAATAAACCTTTTGAAACGTGTACCTTTCCTCCACAGGATCTTTCCATACCTTTCTTTCTATACTGACCTTTGATCTTCCTGAGCAGTACCTCATACCCTTAAATCTCACACCATCAAAATTTGCCCATCTTATGTTTGAAACCCTCAGGGTCTTGACTAGTGCCTTACTAATGATTGTCTTACTGGTCTTCGTAAACTAATTCATGATAAAGTGATCATGGATGATGATGGCATGTTTTTGTTCTCCAAAAATTAATAGTATATTCCTATTTCTTTCATTTAAATTTTTACTTTGTATTTTTCTGAACTTGAAAGTCACCAACAAACACAAACGCTTCCATATACAAAGAATGGAAAACAGAGTTGTATGTCAAGCTGTAAATCTCTACTACATATAATGTGTATTGATTTTTACAAGTATATAATAAATATGAATAAGTATTAATAAATTATATACTTATACTATATATTATACACATAAATTACATTATACACATAAATTACAATGTATATAAATACATTATATACATAAATTACACACACACACACACATATATATATGTTACAAGGATATAATAAATTAAACACATTAATTTCCAAGCTATTTTTTTTATCTCTGTATCCCTCTGACTTCCTTCTGTTCTCTTCAGTACATTAAAAAAATAGCACTTCTGGCAATTTGGTTTTCCTTTTTTTTTAAATCGAATTGACTAATGGTTTATCTATTTTCCTAGTTTTAAAAAATAGCTCCTAGTGTTATTTGTACAAAACATGTTGGTATTTTCAATGGTGGATTCTCAGCATATAATGCCTTTGTAAAAAGGAATGACTACTTAGTAGTGAAAATAGGAACCAATGCCAGTAGGCAGCTAGGGTACGTGACTCTAGGCATGATGTTCCATCAATCACTCCGGATGATCACCTGGCCCACCTATAGCAAAGACTGGCTGTGTCTGTGAACATGAAATAATCTTATTCTAATGCCATTTTAAAGTGACAATAGGAGAGTAGGAATTTGACTTCTGAAAGGTCATTACTTTCTTTTGGTGAAATAATGAAAGGGCCCAAAGGACCCAAGAAATAGGCCTTTTTCTTAGACATTTAGCCTGAGGTGGTGGAATGAATGCCAAGCTAGGAGTCAGCAAACTTGTATTTTACCATCTCTACAGTTTATTAGTTGGGTGACTTATCAATCAATCAAAAAGCATCTTATTAAGTATCCACTAAGTGCTAGATACTGGGATTATGAAGACCAAAAAAAAAACAAAAAAAAACAACCAAACAGTTCCTGCCCTCGAGGAGCTTACATTTTATCAGGGGGAATAACATTTACACATATAAGTGCACACAAAATATACACAAAGTAAATGCAAGACATTTTTGTGATGAATGGTGGGAGAAGCACCAGTAAGAAGCTAGTGCTATCAGGAAAGGGCTAAAATAACAAATAACATTTGAGTTGAGAGCGGAAGAAAGCTAGGGATTCTAAAAGGTGGTGATGGAGAGGCAAAGAAACAGAAGATTAAATATTGTGTGTGAGAAACAGGGATTCTCAAAATTTTTCCCCCCTCATGGCACAATATTATTCTTTGCTATGCAAAGTACCAGCTTAATATGGGAGAGTCCTGAGACTCATATGTGTGTGTGATTACAAGTACAAATTCCATACAATTTAAGGGATACTCACAATGTGATTCCAAGTATGAATTCCATCAAATTCATAGCATTCCTAGCTCAAACTCTAGGCACACTAATGGTAGTAGGGCACACCCTTTGAGAGCCACTCTCACACAGTAAAAATGAAGGACAGTAAAGTGTAATTTCTGGAAAAGGAGACCGCAGCTGGGTTTCAAGGGGCTTCCATGCCAAACAGAGCAGTTTGTATTTTATCCTAGAGATAAGAGGGAACCACCAGAGGTTTCTGAGCAGAAGAATGATATGGCTTGGCTTGTGCTTTAGGAATATTACAGTTGGCAGCTGTGTGAAGAAGCAGTTAGTTAACCTCTCTGAACATCAATTTCCTTACATTCAAAATGAAGCCTTAGAAAGATGATCCCTATGGCTCAATCCGTTTCTAACATTCTATTTTTCAATAATATTTTCTCTCTCTCTCTCTCTCTCCCTCCCTCTTTCTCCCTATATATATAAATACATAGTAGTAGTAGTAGTAGTAGTAGTAGTAGTAGTAGTAGTAGTAGTAGTAGTAGTAGTAGT